ATTTGGGTTTTTTTTTATTACCTTGTGGAAGAACTTTTTTCATGTTAGTGGATTAATAACGGAAAAATTTAATTTTGAGTGCCGTACGATAAAATATAACACTGACTGTATGTAGTCTTGGGTTTTAATCAAACAGTTTTTATATCAATAACAAAGAAAAAGTTTATATTTAATTTATATTTAACAATTGAGCAGAAAATGGAAGTTCTGAATAAATTAAATAGAGAAAAAACACTTCGTTAGAGTACGATGCTGGCAAATCTACAATTTCCGATATAAAGTTGAATGAGTTAAAACATAAGTAAAGCTATTAGGACATTTTGAATAATTTCATGAAATTTAGTATTGCCTTGCATAGGAAAGGGTTACTCTTATAGTTTGCTGAAATGCAAATAGAGAGAATAAACTTAAATTACATATGATCGTAACAATAACACAGTACAACAGCTAATCTGAGGGGTGAGAAAAAGAGCATTCTCGGAAATTGTTTTTTTTTTTTTTAGTTTTTGCCAAAATGTTACAACTAAGCGAAAAAACATCAAAATAAGGAAAAAAGGGGTCATAAGGTCATAAAAAAAACCGACACATACGAACGCCAAACCCTTTGAGGATTTTACTATACTGACCTACTACCATCACCCTGACTTGGAATTTCTCACCCGCCAAACAATAATCCCAAAAATGTTCCACAATGTAATTTGCCGGACAAGGCACTTCTACTGCTAGACTTGCCATCCACATTCATTAGCAGATCTAGATAAGTACACATGTCTCACGTTTTACCACCAATTTACACTGCTCTGATCCAAGCTATTCGAATTTTAAAAATGAATTATCGCAAATATTTTGCTTTGTCTTTTGTCTAGTTAAGAAGTTAACAGAATCATAAAAAAATACCCTTGAAGGGCGTGGCTTTTCCAGCATCAAACTTGAGGATATCGTAAACGGAATTGTCCTTAAAAAGAGCTTCAACAGAATTCTTTATGACGATGAAAAGACTCAGGTGACGATATCCCTCTTGCTATGCTGCGTACCAATAACTCAACGGAAATATTTGACTTATTGTCTAAATATCCCGAATGTTTTTTTATGTGATGAAATTAGCTAAATGGCGACACCGGTGATCAGATCGAATGACCAAGAAAACCAAGACCCAAAAACCCAGCAACTGCGTTTAACACCAGTATTATATAATTATAAACTATTTTGAAAAGTGTTCATTAAATGTACTTATAAAATATATTTTCGAAGTGCAATTAAATAGTTATTTTCGTGTTTTTTTTTCTACGGTTCTTTAATCCGGATATTTCGGCCACTGCAATTGTCCGGATTGTATATCCGTTATATCGTTATGATCATTTTACCGCTTATATTCTTATTTTTTTAGTTAGAACTAATTACATACATATGTTTGTATGGATAAATGTTTTTAAAAAATTAAATTGTTTAAAATATTAATATGTAATATATATTATAATTTTAGATTAATTTGGCTGATTGCTCAAGGAGGAAGTGCATCGGAAGTATTCAAATGCCCGTCTGGATCTGTAATGCACAATCAAAAAACATGTAATGTGTTATAAAAAAAAGTCAAGTAATCTGCAATATTTTTTAATTTATTTTGTTGACAACTAGAATTATAGGAAGTTGCGAGAGGATCTAGTGCAAATATAAATGCATATAGTTTAGTTAAATATTAGGTTTCAAAAAAGTCTTGCGKTATTTTCGCTAATTGGCGCTGAGAGCGCGTAGTTCTAGTTTTATTCGTCGCATCGGGGCATGCTATACCTTTTTGGAAAGCTCATTGCACCCGCTAACACGTGTTTGATTAATTGTCGTTTCTTTTAAGTCGTTCGTGAGTTATAACGCCGCAAACATGGAGCAAAATAAAGAGAAAATACGGCATATTTTACAGTACTACTACGATAAAAGCAAAAATGCATCTCAAGCCGCCAATAAAATTTGTGCAGTTAATGGACCCGATACAGTTTCCTTTTCCACCGCACAATGATGGTTTCAACGTTTTCGTTCTGGTGTAGAGGTGGTCGAAGATGCGCCACGCTCCGGAAGGCCTGTCGTCGAAAATTGCGATAAAATCCCGCAGCCGCCGCATCGGTCAAGAKATGGGCATAAATCATCAAGTAAAATTTTATGAACTATTGAAAATACCGCAAAAATACCGCAAGACAAGAAAAACACCTATGTAGAAATATATTATTGCGGTAATTGTAAAATTGAAATCTACCAAGGCGTAAGWTAATAAAATATCATAAAATCTAAAACTACATCCCTTGTAAACATAAATGCTTATGATGATTAAGCAGTAAGCGCAGCAGTTTTGGAGACATAACAAGATTCACCAGAGTAGTGTGGTGAATTTTGGTGGGTATAGAATTTAGTACATATTACGTTCATTTAAAAACTAATATTATGCTTGATGGGTGTTATAATGATAAATGACGAAAGTGAAAAAAGTCAGAGAGGGAATAATTCAAAAGTAATTCTGGTGTTCTGAAATCTTCGTAAATACTGGTAAAAATGTTTCCTTCAGAATAACCTTATCTTATAAGACTTCTTCTTCTTCTTTACTGGTGCTGAACCATGTCAATGTCGTCGTATAGCTCATCGTTCCATCGAATGCGATATTCGGCGTGGCTAATGCGCAAAGGACCACAAATTTTCAGCAACCTTTTCTTTTGAAAACTCTTCGACTTCAAAGTAATAACTGTCAACAGTGACGTGGGAGCCTAGTCGCGAGTGCGACGACTGTTTGATTTGATGACAGGAGATACCTCGCCATGCTCTCGTCCACTACCAGACCCGTTTRCTTCGCTTCCTTATCCATTTTAAAGAAAGCAAAACTAAAGGGGCTATTATTGAGATAAATGGTATATTCAAAATTGGGGGGTACTTTCACACATGCTCAAATTTTCTTGGCACAATCAGTAAGGAAATTAGTCCTATTACTTTCCGAACAAACTCTATAGTTCCTCCAACCATTGTTTGCAATACTTAAAAAAGTAAGGAAAGGCTAAGTTCGGATGCAACCGAACATTTTACTTGCTGAAATCAGAGCCAGGGAACAGTACCGTTATATAGAAAGTGAGCAGGGTAATCTTCCGAYTTCATCCATTTTCTCATTTTCTTATAATATTTGCGCTGAACTAATTTGATTGTTGTAGATTTAGTAGGTATTATTTTTTGTTTTGTGGGTGAGGGGGTTTTCTATGGCGGTGCGTTCTCGTGGCCAACGTACACATTCAAAGAATGTGTGGTCAGCGTCGTCCTCTGTCGCGTCATTATATAGGCCTGACGGCTCTTCGACTTTTCCCATTCTGTGGACGTACTTTTTGAAGTATCCGTGACCGGATAATAGCTGGGTTGTGTAAAAATCGACTTCTCCGAATTTGCGGTTTGTCCATAAATCTAGATTTTTTATTAGCCTGGTCGTCCGTCTGCCGCGACTTTCATTCTCCCATCTTTGTTGCCATGTTGTTATTGTATCTTTCCTTATTTGTTGTACTGCATTCTTGTTATTATCGGCTGATTTCTTTAGCTCCCACAGCTTTTTCCTTTCATATGATAGAAGGTCAATTGGGGCCTTACCACTTATAACTAATATTGCATCGCCTGATACTGTCCGCTAGGTTGATGCGACTCTGAGGGCTGCGGTGCGGTGCACCCTGGCCATTATCTTACGCCGGTTCTCCTTTTTAAACGCGTCTGCCCAGATCTCGGCTCCGTATAGTAAGACGCTGATTGTCGTCGACATTAGGAGCTTTCGCTTTTCTTGACTGGGGCCTCCTATGTTGGCCATTAATCGGCTCAGTTGAGAGGTGATCTTCGCTTCCTTTCCTGCGGCGTGCTGGATTTGTACCCAGAAGGTTAGTCTGGGGTCCAGTCTTACTACTAGGTAGTTTACAGCTCTCTGTGTCTTTAGAATATCCGTTGTTGTGTGCATGCTTATCTCGAGAGGTATGTGCTTGTTTGCTAGCAGTAGTAGCTCTGTTTTCTCCGTAGCGAGCTGGAGGTTGTGTGTGTCGAGCCATGTTKGCGTCTGTATCATGACCTGGTTCAGCTTTCTTCGCGCTTCTTCTGTATCCCTTGCTGTGATTACTGCCGCAATATCGTCCGCGTAGCCAATTAAATATGATTTCTCTGGCATTTCTAGTTTTAGTATAGCGTCATAGCTTATGTTCCATAAGTCTGGGCCTAGTATGGATCCTTGTGCTGCTCCTGACGTAACGCTATCTGACGTGGCCCTTCTTTAGTTTCATATAGCAGTTTTCTGTTGCTAAGGTAGCTCCGCACCACAGCCCTGAGGTAGTCGGGTATCTTGAAGATTTTTTCGAGAGCGTCGATCATGTCCACCCATCTAGCACTGTTGAAGGCGCTTCGGACATCTAGAGTCGCCAGTAACGCTATTCTTTTATATTTATGCCATCTACGCTGCGCCGCTTCTACGCTTTCAATAACGCACTTTATGGCTCCTATAGTTGATCTGCCGGCTCTGAAGCCGTGTTGTGTAGGGTGTAGACAGTCCTCCAGCTTCGTTAATAGCCGTTTCGAGTCTGGGTTTTATTAGGCTTTCGTATAGCTTTCCCGCTGTATCAAGCATGCATAGTGGACGGTATGCTGATGGCAGATTGGGGTCTCCTTTTCCCTTACTGATTAGCACCAGCCGTTGCTTTTTCCATGGTTCAGGGAATATTCCGGTTTCGAGGCAGGCGTTATACATATTCAGTAGTACTGCCGTGCGCTCTGCTGCGATTAGTTTGAGGATTTCTGCTGGGATCCCGTCCGGGCCGGGTGATTTGTTGGCCCTGAGCTTGCCAGTGGCTTGCTGTAGCTCTTCCAGGTAATAGTTGTTCGGGATCCCTAGCCATGCTTTCGTGTGTGGGGAATAGTGCGTTCACGATATGATCCAKTTTTACAGCGGTTAAGTCAGGTGGCTTTGCTCGAACGCCGTGCTTCTTCATAACAACTTTATACCCGAGTCCTCAGGGATTTCTGTTTATATCCTCGCGTAGTTCCTCCCATTTTTTCTTTTTTGCTGTTGTCGATGGCGTGCTCAGCTCCTTGTTTGCTGCTTTGTATTRCTCGGCCTCTTCGGGTGCGGCTCCTCTGCGCCTGGATCTCGTGTAGGATCTGCGGAGGCGGAGGCATGTGCGTCTGAGTTGGGCGATATTTTCAGTCCACCAATAGACTGCTGCCTTGTGTTTGCTGTGGGAAGCCTTAGGCATTGATTTTTTACAGGCTCTTGCTATATTAAGCATTGTGTGCTCGACAATTTTTCTTRCATTTTYTGGGGAGCTGCTAGATGGGTTTTGTTCGTCTATTGCGGAGATCAGTTTCGAAGTATTTAGCTTCGAGATGTTCCACCTCCGCGTTGCAGTCTTTTTCCTGCACTGGTTAGCGTTTGTTCCAATGTCGATAGTGAAGGAAATGTACTGGTGATCGCTGCCGGTGTAATCCTCTAAGACTTTCCATTCGTTTATTGAGCCTGCCAAGCATTCTGATGATAGAGTAATGTCTGGTGTAGTTTCCTCGCATCCCGGTCTTCTAAACGTGGTTGCATTTCCCGTGTTGAGCACTATTAGGCTTAAGCGCGCAGCCATTTCTAGAATGCGCTTTCCTCTCGAGTCCATGTTTGGCATACCCCACTCTACGGCTTTGGAATTTAGGTCTCCGGCGATAATTAGTTCACCTTCTATAGACCTGGCTGTGTCCTCAATATTGTCGAGCTTTTCTTGGAATTCCTGTATGCTATAGCTTGGCGTCAAGTAGCAGCTAATTACTGTGAAAAGGTCGCATTTGGCCCAGATGAAACCATTCCCTTTGTCTACAGTGATGGCGTTAATCCCTGGTAGTAGGCATATAGCGGCGGTGGAGCTACTATCTTCCAGCCAGGTACCTCTCTCTTTCTTTTTGCATTGCGCGCTTATGATGATTAACTGGTAGGCGTTCTCCGCCACCATTTGCGAGAGTGGTGAGTCTGCAGCCTTGCAACTATGCATATTGGCCTGTAAGATATTTATTTGTTTTGGCATTTCCTATATACCATACATTTCGCGGATCCCGGGATATTTTCAGCCTTTTCGTGTTTAGCCTCCACGCAGAGGCAGCATGAGGGGGGCTTTGTGCACTCTTTCATTTTGTGACCTGGTTGGCCGCATTTTATGCATGCACCTTGCCCTCTTCTGTCGGGTCCTTTGCAATCCCAGGTTAAGTGCCCTGGTCCAAAACAGCGAAAGCATCTTTTTGGGGTTTCTGTCAGTCGCAGCCTGCAGTTAACCTAGCCGATTTTTATGCGTGCCTGTCGAATCAGTATGTCAGCCTTACCCTCGTCGAGCGTTATATATGCCCTGACCTGCTCTCTTGTGTTAGGTGCTGTTAGGCTTATCGTCAAGTCTTCGATGGAGTCCTGAAGCACTTTTTTTACAGCCTCTGCTACTTCTCTTTTTGTTGAAAGGGAGTCGAGGTCTCTAATCTCTATTAAAGCCACAATGGTTTAAATGGTTAAGGTCGGCCACACTTCCGGATTCTCGGAGGGTCGTCTTGAGTGCTTCGCAGAAACTGGCTTTTGTGGATTGTTCTTTCTCCAGCTCCACTAGTACAGGTCCAGCTCTTGTTTTGCGAATCCCTTTAATTTTCACCTCTCCTTCTCTTATGTTTACCTTGCTACGGATATTCTTGAGGACCTCGGCGTAGCTATTTCCTTCTGCTGGTTTTATGATTACGGCCTCCGATTGTCGTTTGGGCCTGCTTTTTGCTCTCTGGTTTGAGGCGATATTCCTTCTTTGTTGTCCTCCGAGTTAGTAGTTTAGGAGATATATGCAATAAACTTATTAAAGGGTGGGTGAATGTAGAACAATGTCACGTACTAAATTTAATTGAAATCAGTCGGGCGGGACTCGATGTATGTGATTTAAACAAAAAGTAAGCGCTGTTGTTTAATTTTGACGGACCCGGTGTTAAAGCTCTCTCATATCATCTCGAAAGTGAAATTTTATGTCTATGTTATTGATTTATCGACCTTCTATTAGATTTTAAMTGTATCGTTATATGGAGAGTGAGCGGCGTTTTCATCTATTTCATTAATTTTCACATTGTTGGAACGAGTTCCTTTCRTATTTGCGCTAGGAGAATTGGGTTTCTGCGGCTTCAGGAGTTTAGGAGATTTGTACATAAAACTTATTAGAGGCCGGTGTCACTACCAATTTTTTAAAATTCTTGCCCACATTGTGAACGTTTTTCTATTCCCCTGCTTCCCTCGGCGGGTATTGCGTCGAATTCATTTAGAACCAGCGCAGCCGCAGTCTTTTAATTCGATGAGCTACGTCAATGTCGTCGTATATTTCATACAGCTCATCGTTCCACCGAATACGATATTCGACATGGCCAACGCGCAAGGGACCATAAATCTTCTGCAGAACCTGCACCATACAGCAGGACGGGAATAAATGGCAGGAACAGTYAATAACGCTACTCCCTTCCTTCCTTTTCCTTCCTTAGCGAGCAAAATGTGTCAAAAGTTGAGCCCGTGGTAAAAACGCAGAAATCAGCCATCTTTGTTTGTTTCCATTTGAACAATGTTGCCATTGCTCAATACGCATCTATAGTTATGTATACATCTAAGTTTTTAATTACAATTTTTCATAATATAAAATATAAAAACTGACAACAAAGTATTAAAAATATMTTTATAAATAATAGCATTCGACTCTGATTTTGAGTTATTTTAAGAAAATTTCAAACATATTGAAGACAACTTTTATAATTACTACAGTATATCGAGATTGACAACCCTGCGTTGTAAGAGAGCAAACAGCTGACACGTTTCTACGGCAAAAATCCAAATGCCGTGGATTCCCACGGCATCCTACGGCAAAGAGGGAAGGGAATAGCGTTTTTCACTATTCACTTACATTGCGCGCCCATAAGGTAGGTCGTATCAGCTGACACGGGCCCCGATTCTACGTTTTTGACTGTTTCTGCTGAAATATTTACTTAAAAAATTTGGGCTTCCTTCGCCGAGAGAGGACTTTCTCAGTCGCCTACCCAGTCCGAAGAAGCTCCTGTTGGTAAGAGTTATTCTGCGTTTTATTTCCAAGACGACATTGTTGGTGGTGTTGAAGCTGGTTTCTAAATAGCCGAAAATTTCTACAACTTTGAAATTATGGCCGTTAACAGTGACGTGAGAGCCTAGTCAAATTATTACTATTAAGGGAATATGTAAGAAATCACACGAAAGGAATTCGCCTTGGTTGAAAATTTATTTGGTATCGAAGAGAGTCGAAGAGATCCTTCCCGACGCTGACGCAGTTTTTGACATCAGTTTATACAGTCCTATTAGTTTTGCGGTGATACGATATAGTGGCCAGCTGTTGAAACAACTTTAAATCGAAGAAGGGGTTCCAATCGTCAGTCATCTTTTCACCCCACCATATTCCACAAATAAACTGATGCATCGACCCCCGCCGCTTTGTTGTTCTTCAGTCATATAATTCCTAAGAGCTAAAAGTTCTCTCACAAGTTCGGCGTCCTGTTTTTTTTTTCTTTTTTTGTCTGTAAATGCGTCACGATTCTCTCTTCAACTCCCGCTATCTATCCCATTCTCTCCGCTGCGACACGATACTCCTCATCTTACATTTTCCGAAAAGTAATGGTTTCGTTTGCACCTATACGTAAGGAGCTAGAAATGCCGTCTCACGGTTCTCTTATACCGAGTTGCTGATGAGTGCTCTCAGAGAGCAGGAGTGCACGTCGAATAGTGATTGGAGCTTCTCGACGTCGAACCTTCCTTGTGTTTATTGGCGAACGTTTTTTGCTGCACGGAGGTGGGTGCGAATCTTGGCTGCAACAAGATAGTGGGCCGAGTCGATGTTAGGATCGATCTGGTTGGTGGCTCTTCGATCCKGAGAGAACAAAGTAACCTGCAGACTTCTTTTTATGCTGGAATCTAGTACTGCAGATAACCACATTTCTGGCCCTTGTGAAGTTGATCAGCTCCAACCAATTGGGGGATGTTTCCTCGTGGAGACTGAATTTACTGACTTCTGTGCCAAAGTTATGTTCTCTGCTCACCCTCTCGTTAAAGTCGCTGAAGGTTTCTCAAGCCTTTTTGAGTAGTTATAATTCAGCAATCTCATAATTCACGGTAATAGAGTTTTCTAATACATTGGTAATAGATTACGTTTTTTTTTTGTTAATATAGAAATGGTAAATATTTATATGATATAAAAAACATTTCATAATAATATATTCATACATTATTAAATCAATTTTAAAATTTATTTTTAAATCATTATTTTTAGATTTTTGAAGTCACTTGACGCAACACCGGCCACCTTGACAGGATCATGATCCTCCAACTTCGACAGGCAGCAGGGCAAGCTTGTGAATAGGGCGCCTAATTGTGCCTGCCTTAGTTTCCACGACTACCACTCGTACCTTTCCGTTTCGCCCTTCTACGGTTGCGGCGATTCGTCCTAGTACCCACTGTTGCGGTGGCGTGTTGTCTTCGTTTACGAGGATTTGTTGCACTCCTGAAGATTCGCAAAGTACGTTTATCGCCAAACTGTTGCTTGAAACAGCAAACAAGTTGCCATCTCTCGTATTAGCAAATTGGGTCCCTTGACACTTGTGCCGGTGGTAAATCTCGGAGAGAGCACCCTTTGAGTAGGTGTGCTGGAGTCAATGCTTCGCAGTCGTTGGGATCCTGGCTCAACGGTCCGAGGGGCCGCGAGTTGACGATGGCCTCCACTTCGGCCAGCAGTGTTCCCAGTTCTTCGGCGGTGAGCAGCACGTTGCCCATTGCGCGCACGGCGAGGTGTTTGGCGGACTTCACTGCCGCTTTCTATAAAGCTAAAGTATAAACTAATTCTAGGTGTACTGCTATTGACGTGAAACAAACGAAAACTGCGATATAACTTTTTACGGGTGGTCGACCGTGTATTTTTAATGTAGTATAAATTGGACTATAAAAGTCTACGCCACATATAAGGAAAGGTCGTAGCGCTCGAAGTCTTTCAACTAGAAAGTTTTCCATTATTTGGGTTTGCAGCTTCGGCTTGTAATGAAATCAGTGTGTACAGTTTCTTACGGTTCTACTGAATGCTTCTATTGCATTAATCAGCCTGCGTGGTGATTTCGAAAGTGCAGGAACCGTAAATAACACAGTACAACAGCTAATCTGGAAGGTGAGAAATTCCAAGTCAGGGTGATGGTACTAGGTCAGTATAGTAAAACCCTCAAAGGGTTTGGTGTTCGTATGTGTCCGTTTTTTTTTATGACCTTTTAACTTTTTTTCTTATTTCCCATGGTTTTCCATCTTAACAAATAAATTGTTTCCAATCAGGCGTACTAAATGGTCCAGATATAGGAAAGCTGATTAAAAGTGACGCATTCAACAATATTTTCAATGCGTCGCTCGACGCTGAWTTGAATGCATGGCAGGCAATCAAAGAAGTAATAGGTTACTTGTGGAGAAAGCATCGTTCTAACAACTACGATGTTCTGTTGCAAGGATGTTAAGAGCATTCTCGGAAATTGTTTTTTTTTTTTTTGGTTTTTGTCAAAATGTTACAACTAAGCGAAAAAACATCAAGATAATCCCAAAAATATTCCACAGTGTAATTGATAACGAAGTGAGAACTTTTATTTAGTAATAATGGGAATGTGGCATCGTATGGGAGATGTTCATTTAAAAGGCGAATCCCGGATTTAGTTTTTGCAAGTTTGCGGGTAGCAGGGTGCCCTCAGTCAGTTCTTGAATTTAAATCGCAAGTTCGGAATGTTTAATCACCTGAACAATTTTCAGAAAGCTCAAATGTAATTCGTTAGATGCCAGATCCCTTTCCTCCGTATACATTTTTGGTCGTCTAACCACCGTAATAGATAGACAACCCCACGAAGCAATTTTTRATGAGAAGAGAATTTTTCGATAAGGTTCAATAATGTATTTTCTTTCACATTTATGGCTAATATGAAAGTATTTTCTTTTTCCTTAATGCTT